TGAGTACAACGAGTACACTTACAGAGATCGACACATCAAAGCGGCCAGTCACAAACTCACGTGTGCCAATGTCCCGGCGCCAGTCGAGCGCCGTTTTATTGCACTCACTCTTACCTGATTACAGGAGGGTACACGAATTGAAGCATTTAAATGAATGGTACCTTTTATTGTTTGTGTACTTTTGTGCACGGCGTTAGTAAGAAAATCGAGTTGAAAAATAAATGCATTATTCATCACAGTAATATTATGAAATCACTAGCCTTAAATGCTTCTACTGAACAATGTTTTTTTTTTGGTCTGAGAAGATTTCAGCATTAGTGTTCCCAGAGTTAATAATTAGAACTCTAAATCATAATGAAATGTGTTTTTCTTTAAAATATCTCAGTGTGATATATTAGTGAGATATATTTTTGTAATGTAAGCTTCACACTCCACAAAATTATCGCGCTCCAGCGCACATCAGGGTAGTGATCGGCAGCAGCGACCTCTCTAGTCCGGCCTTAGTCATGGCTATAGAGCAGAGCGAGAGGAACTGGGAAGCCGTCTCATCTTTCTGCGAAGCAGTAATGTTTGCAAAGAAGGAGGCGGAATGCGTTAGGGAACTATCTTTCTCAGGCTCCAACTGCTGCAGTACTCTCCGGGCGTTTGAAATTGCGTGATGATCTCCAGCCACCGTAATTGTGGCGCGGCTTTGCGGATCAGAACTAGCCGCGTGCGCCTCAAAGAGCTAATAGACCACTGCAGATGGAGCTCAACAGCTGATGTTCAGCTAGTATAGCGAGGCAAGCGCAGTAAGGTACCTTGAGCTGCCTCGGCCTTTTTTTTGTCAGGGGAAAATCATCTTATGACTTCTCCCGCCCAGGGTAAGGTGAGAGAGAGTGTGAGACTCTTACTGACTAAAACCCCCTCGTTCCTTCTTCTGCTCTGGGCCGAGGCCGCGGTGACTTATTGCGCTTACCCCGCAACCCCGGCTGAACATCAGCTCTATAGGGCCCTCCCGGCCTCGGCCTGGAGCAGGAGAAGGGACGGGGTGCAATAAGAGACCCTGTTGTTCTTTCCTGGGCGAGAGAAGTAATTTGATGATTGATGATCAATGCTCAAAAAAATTACGTTTTAGGCTAATTAGTATGCTACTGAGTAAGTTGAACCTTCAACTTTTCGCATCTAACTATTGCACGGGAGGACGGCCCTATGCTACGATGTTCCACCTTTTTTAAGCTATATCGCACTGTGGGATTTCCTCTAGTCTTCAGCTACCCATTAGAAGTAATAGCTGATAAACAAATTGTGATATGAATTCAGTATTTTAGAAAATTTGTGTGTATTGTTGCCACAATTTCTGTACCGTCTCACCAGCGTACATTGAGTGGTACAATGCAATATGTTGCAATTACGCCAGTGACGTCACAGTGAGCGACTCAGTGACGTATGTTGCGTATCGTTGGCGCGTTTGTAAGTATAAGGGTAGTCAGTGAGACAAGTTGAGAGATAGTAAATTCACTTCTATTACAGGTAATAATAAAAGTAATTGTGGTTTGGGAAAAGTCATTCAGATTCATAATTGGCAGCAAATGACGAGACGGAATATTGGCACCGCCTAAGAAAACTTACAACATCAGAGGCCCTGCAAGTACGTTACCAACATTTTGGGGATAAGGGGATTTAGGGATTGGGGAGGGTACATATTGAGCCTCAGGTAACTTCGTTGGCTCACGTCGATTTTTTGTGAGTCCCTGGTATCACTCAAATCAAACTGGCCCATTTGTGCAAAAGCATAGCTCACTAGTTATCCAAGTCAGTTAATATAAACTAATATTTACGGACGTAGATAACTTATTTGTATTTTAACAACTTTTGTGTATTTTTATAGTGGGGTTATTCCATCTTATGACAAAGATAATCTTATGCTGTCTACCTACACTGAAACAAAAAAATCGTGACTAGCTTTCATGAATCTGCATCTACATATTTCTATGAATATGTATACCTACTTAGGTATAAAACGGTATGTATAATGACAGATACTATCAATACTAATATTATAAAGAGGTAACGTTATAACCGGTGGTGATATTTCCAAAATTCTTTCACTGATAGATAGCTACTATGTTCATGAGTGTTATAAGCTATGAATTAAATTGCTTGATTTGTGTATTTTAATCGAGCTATCGCTTTGAACGCTGCTGTTTTTAAAATCCCCGGATACATTACATTTATTTTTTCTTTATTACATTAAATTTACGTGCACAAAGCAGCGGGCGGAAGCTAGTTAGATTTAAAAAATAGCCTATGTTATTTCAGACTATGTATTATCTCATCGCATTAAGATTCAGTCAGTAGTTTTTACGTCAAAGAGTAACAAATATCCATCCACCAAGTTTTCACTTTAATATAATTAGTAGGATTTCATTCACTTTCAAAGAAATATGAAAACAAACAAAGTATTAATTTAAATTTTTAATTAACGTCGTAGCTCGTAGCAGTTGTAGCTCGCTACGGTGCGCGGCTACGGCGTAGCGTTCGGAGCACCCCTCGTGCCACGATAATAATATTTATAAGTCTCTGCAGATTAGGATTATATTAAATTTTGTATTAGACGCATAGTTGGTCTAAAATATGGTTTTTAATAAAAACAAAAAAATCTGGCTCCCTGTAACGTTGGAGAGCCAGTGAGAGTAAAGGCTTTTCGTTCTTGTTTGTTAAGTCAAACATATTGAAAAAAGATTAAGTTAATTGAAATTGAAATTGGAATATTGAAATAATACAAGGTAATACAAGACATTAGTCTTGTATTACCTATTTCTGTTATTCAGAATAAAACGATATTTTTAATACTATCCATTTTTTTATTGGGTTCTTGTTAAATAATTTATTTAAGGCAAGGCTATAGTTTCTTCCTATAATCTTATAATTATTTTCTTCTTATTAAATTTGCACACAAAATTAAATATTAATATTGGCCACATTAAGATTGTAATTATGAACATAAAAATGATTGTAAGTGCTGATTATATTTACTATACATGACTGCCTCACTCTTTGAAGTAAGCCCATGCCCAACCATTCATTTTCGATTGAAAGTCAAGCGTCATATGAACCACTCTTCCTGAAGCGGGAGAAGGAACGGAGTGGCTTTAAGTCTTTAAAAGTCTGTCTCTCTCTCTCTCTCTCTCTCCCTTTCTCCCAGGACGAGAGAAAACAGTTGATGATTTTACCACTTCCAAAAAAAAAAAAAACGAAAGTTCTGAACGTAATTTAATTTCAGCCTTTCAGTAGATCGGTTGAGTGCCAGATGCCTATAGGTATAGCTAGACTTGCATGCCTGAAGTTTTCCCAACACCCTGATCATGAGTACATATATATAAATATGTTTATATAGGTATATATGTATTGTATGTGTTTATATGTAAATATATTAGGAGTATACTATATGTCATGTAATTACTGTTGTATAAATGTTTATAGATGTATAAGTTCGTATTCTATTAGGTTTATGGTATAGTCACAATAGGTTGGTACGTAGATCTAGCTTGCTTCTTGCATCTGCCACTGGATCGTCTCTGCATCACCTAAAGGAAGACTGGAAGAGAATGATCATTGCATTAAATCCACCTCATGAACAACATTGGTTGTGCATGAAGTTAAAATAAAAAAAAATACAGCCCATTGAAAATGTCCAATCTATTGAACATCAAGAACTCAGACACAAAATCATCATAAAAATTTTCTAAAAGCGATAAAAACAAAAACATTTCCCTCTACCCGGAAACTAAATCTAGCTGAAAGCTTTCGAAATATACACCAACCAAGTACGGTTCTCATTTCGAATGGTATTTCAAATATGTTTCGCTGAAAATGCGAAGAATTTTTCGCTGAAACACAAGCAGTTTTCATAAAACATTTTATGAAATTCTTTGGGCGTAGCATCCACGCTACCTACCTACTAGGAATTTCATCAAAGCGAAATCAAGAGCCAATTGAAGCCAAGTGTACATGTACTTGTATGTGTGTGCGTGTGTATGGATGATAAAATTAATTGTCACACAATAAATTGCTACCTATTTTGTAGGGTGAATGCACCTGCTATTTTCCTTTCCTTATTTAGAATGTTAGGTTCCTAATCTTTTAGACAAACAACATATTTCATATTTTTTTTGATTGGTGTGATTATCTGTGTTCATAATTCGAAAGTATGGATATGAACTAAAAAAATATACGTTAAAGTTTAAGATATTAAAAAAAACCTCCGAAAACATCCTGTGTACCGACGTGAAACATCGCAGTAGGTAGCCAGTAAGTGAGTAGCGACCAAAATAAAATATAAGGATCGATAAACAACAAAAAGCTAACATAAAACAGTCGTCGGTATCCATTTCGTCAAGTGTCCATTCCCCCGCATTCCTTATTCAACAACGTCCGAAAATTAAAGGCGCTTTTACAAGAAATCGCACTCAGACTGCGACGTTTCCGAACGCAACCCAGCTGAAATATTTCCAACGGATCTCATTCGAGTACTCTTATTTACCTCGGGCAACACAACTATAGCGACTTATATCACGAGCACACTGCCTGTATTTGTTTTTTCCATTACAAAAGAACGGAACGCCCTGCGCCCGCTATAGCAATAATATTTCAATATCGCGGCCTGGGTGCCAACCCTACACGCTTTCAAAGTGATTTCTCTGCGATCCGATTGGTCGCCCGCCACCACCGAGGAATGCGTTCGATATTCAAAACCAGCGAGAGATAGAGACAGAAATACAATAGCGGCATCCCAAACCCGGCAGGATGAACGAGACGGAAGTAGTTGTGTCGGTACATGAATATTGTATGAATGGGAAAGGTCCGTATCAATAATACGTGCACGAATGAAATAATAGATTATTCGTTTGTTCAAATCGAACGTAAACAAAATGTAAGCATCCATTACTGATGCACGCGTGCAAAACGAGCGAGACAGTCGGACGTGGAGCGTGCGTTAGAGCGGGACGGGTATATTTCTTCGCGTAGAGCTTTCGGCCGAGCAGGGTCGGCAACAATGTGAGCACTATCTGTTTTTGTACCAGTCGACGGTCGGTTTCCACATTAAACGATCATTTTAAGGGCGAACCAATCAAACTGCAAATTTATACAAATTGATACTAAACGGGTTATATTAATTTTATAACAAAAATTAAGTGTGTAAATAAGTTTGAACGGAGTCGTAATTAAAACTAATTGGGTTTAATATAGCGCTAATTATTTTGTATTAAGGCGGGTTTTCGCTGGAATTTCGTCCTTTTTGACGTTTTGCGTGAGTGCCGTTGGAATTTTTTGTGTCGCGGGAGAGTGGACTTGTGATCTGGTTTGGGGAAGATGCTGGGCGCTGGTGCGTGGCGAGGAATGGCGGCGCGGGGCTCGTGCTAGCCGCAGCCGCAGCCATTGGTTTGTGCAGCTGTGTTGCGGACGATGTCGACATAGGGGGCGGCCAGGGTTGGCCCCTAGAGGCCATGCTCAATAACCTCACTGCGACAGCTTTGGGAGGTAAGTTCCTGGTTCCTACAATTCCTTACTTGCAGTAGGAACCTCCTCAAAATATCGGTGCCTTCCTAGCGTTAATCACAAGCCAGGAACGCAAAGAAACACAACAGTAAACTCCTTGTATTGTTTAAATTCTAAAATAAAATTCGCCGCGCCTTAAGGTCATTCAAACGCCCGACAGACAGTCTAAGCAGAAAAAATGCAAATAACCCAGGTACCTAAAACCTAAATCATAAATTATGTGAATATCTCAAAGACTTGTCATTTTTAGTTGACTGGTGTAGTACTATCTACAGATTGTTTTTATGTGATTTCGATTATTAAGTAAGTCTTTATCTTTCGGTTCTAATGAGAATTGATAGTCCATTTAAATTCCAATTTGAATTAAACGACGCTACACAAAACTTTTTTTCTGTTTTTCCAATTCATGAAATACTGTGAAAATGAATAAATTTCCAAAATTAAGTAAGGTTAGCTTTGTATTCAAATTATTTTAATAAATATTAAACTAAATTCCAACGCGGGGCTTCACACGCGTAAAAAAACAGCAGCATTTAAGCGATAGCTTGACTAAAATAAGCAAATCATGTTTAATTAAATTTATAGCCTATAGCATTCAAGAACATTTTGAAAACAGACTAGCTTTTTAAAGTTTACTCCTACATATAAACATACAAATATTACCTCTTTATTATATTAGTATAGATGAACTAAGCCTGAACTGAACTTAGACTCAATGCCTGTAAAATATATTGAAATATTTAGATCAATATTTGTTCGGTTTCATCATTGCCGCATGTTTTCGCCATCAACCCAAATTATTTCTTTCCCATCATCTACATATAGATAGTTGGCAGTCAAGAACTGTGCGATTTTTACGGAACTTTCGAATGATCTTTTGACGGTGGTATTCCCGAACTGATACGACTTACAATCCCCGGAGAAACACGCGTATTCGTTTTTAAAAGGCCGGCAACGCGCGTGTGACTCCTCTGGTGTTCAGGGTGTTCATGGACGGCGCTTATCGTTTACTATCAGGTGATCCGTCTGCTAGTTTGCCTCAATACATAAAAAAAGGTATTTTGTGAAGTTCTACACCCAAAAGGTTTCAATTAGGAACCCTATAATGTCACTTGGCGGTAGGTATCTCTTGAACTGTAGTAGCTAGATCGTTTAAATTTGGACATATAATGTATTTCTGTTATCGCTATAACAATACATGCTAAAAACAAAAGAATATCAGTATTTGAAGGGAGCTTCGAAATAAATGATTGAGTGATTTTGGTTCAGAGGTCTTCGTGCGTGAGTCGTGATAGAAAAATAAATATTTAAGTGAGAAAATTAATCACACTGATCAATTAAAACTAAAGGTAGTCATGGCTAATACTAAAAACAAAACTCTTAATAATAGCGACGTCTCCCCCATTGCTTGAACAAAGGCAAGATGACAATAAAACGGTTTGCCGACAATATCCCGACTGCCGTCGAAGCGTTCTGTTTTACGGGATTCAATTCCATTAAATCGTGTTTATGAGCCCGCAGTAATCCCGGTGAGCCGGGACCAAGGTGCTAAGTCCCGGCCCGCCTCGACATTTGCTCCCAAGTTGGGGTGGATATCATTTAAATTCTGCTCTCAGAAGAAAATATTGTGTTCTGTATTAAATTGGGGACCATTGGTAGGTAATCTTCCATTTTACGAATTTAAATTGGATGTGAAAGAAGTTTGGAAATGAGAAAAAAAGAAGATATTATCATTATCACTTTGACAAAGTATAAAACAATGTCGCTTTCTCTGTCCCTATATCCCTATGTGTGCTTAAATCTTTAAAACTACGCAACGGATTTTGATGCGATTTTTTAATAGACAGAGTAATTTAACATATTATTGTACAAGATGCATAATACCATCCGTTAAATAGTAAAGCTATATCCCTAAATATGCTTAAATCTTTAAAACTACGCAACGGATTTTGATGCGGTTTTTTAATAGACAGAGTGATTGAAGATAATATTTTATATGTATAATAACATACCAGGTAAAATAAGCCGGGGCGGGTTGCTAGGTTATAGTGAAGAATAAATTAAATAGATAAATACTTTTTTAATTTTCCGGATAACATGAAGGTCATGTGCTAACATTGCAAGGGTCATGTCTATCTTTTGATTGACATCAGTAGGTATTTGAATACAGGCCATTTAGAAAACCCTTTGACCCTTGTGCTACCAGAGCTCAATACATAATTAATCCACTGAACTCCCTGTCATGATAATGTCAATGTCAAGTTGGATGTACACACCCTTTGCCAAATAAACGAAGGTTTTCGATGACCTATTTTATTATATTGTTTAGGACTCATAAAGCAAGAAATGAAGAATCATTTAGGTGATTTAAAAACTGTTTTAAAGATTTTCAACTGTTCTCTTTGGCTGCTTAACACATACAGTTGATTTGGGGACCTCTTTCGTCGTTTTGTCAGTTTTTTGTCCGTGAGGGACAAGGAAGCAGTAATTTTGGGGCCACTCCGTATTTTTATAACTATCGTGAGACATACTAAATTAACTAAAAATCCTACGCAGAGTAGGCTGCGCGACGTCGCCGCGACCGCGCACGCTGCTCATGAGGAAGAACCCCTCTGTGGTTCGAAACTAGTAGAGCTTTTCTCAATTTATACACGTGAGTAACCCGCGATTTTTAGTTAATTTATGTTCAGTCTTTAAAATATTGATAAATTGAGGGTTAATTTATCAATATTTTAAAGACTGTCTTTTTATCTAAGGAATCATTAGATTGGCGGAATGAGTTCACAGATGAATTATGGCCTTTGTGGTCCTCTGGCGTTAAAAGTTCATGTATGTAGGAATATCTTTTACGTTTACTTTTGGTTCTTTTAGCATTGTGTGCTAAACTGCCAGTACATTGTTTTTATGCCTATAAGTGCAATACTAATTTAAATACAATGTATCAATGTAAACATATATTTTTTAAGACTAGTGACGTGGTTTCTCCGTCGTTCTTCTTCATACCGATTGGGCTTTTAAGAACGAACCGCCCATAACATTCTTTAGATCATTTATTGTTTTTTTATACGTTGCAGCCACAAATAATGTGCTACCGAGGTTGTAGGTCAAGCGCAATGAGATACTGCAGCCTCGGCCTGGACTAAGAAAAAGAACGGGGTTTAAGTCAGAAAGAATCTGACCCTCTCGCAAGAGAAGTCGTTTTGAAGATTTGTGCCTCTAAAAACCACAAATAATGTAACCTTTTAACTTTCATGAACAATATTAATTAGTAGATAGGTAAAATCATGCAAAGTTTTAAAGTTGAACTCAGGTTAATTTAACTGAACTTGGCAGCAAACTAACCTGAACTAGTCAATTAATCTGAAACTTCATTGTTCATTACGTCTAGTTAATAGTTTTGCATATTTTATCTGTTGACTAACTTACTGGCCTGCTTGCTTCCTAGGTGTTGGTTCTAGTATAAATTGAATTCATTATTACCTGTTATTAATTGTTGCAACATACTGTGGAACTGTGTAGATAACTACAAGTTCTCGGATTTAAACGAAATTAGCGGTCGCGTCGTGTATTGGGCAAGATTTGATCTGATTGAATTTCGAATATATTTTTTTTTACTGTCAGTTGTTCGTAATTGTGATTTAAATCTTCTATACATATATATCTTATATGTAAAAATCAACGCCGGCTAATTTTGGTCTCGAATTATTCGTGGGTCCAGAAAAGGTTTGTACGTATAGAAAATTAAAAAAAAAAGTATTAAATAAAATTGTTTCCTCTTGTAACCTCTGTCTAAAAATTTCACCACGCCAAGCAGTAAGAGTCTGACACTACATCACATCTCACCTAGGTTGTCTATCACCAAAGGATGTCTGGAAGAAATTGCGTTTTAGCGATAAGATTTTTTAGAAGAATTGTCTTTCATGGTTGTTGTTCCCTGTGTTTTTAAATTTTTATGGTATGCATCAAAGAGTATTCTATCTAACGAATGGAGTTTCTTGCTCGTTCTTCTCCATTCGAATCTACATTTTGGAACGAGCACCTAGCTTCACTGACGAACAGACTGACAGACTACTTCTCTATTTTGACGTTTCAAAAGTACCTATTTATGGTTTAGTTGGGATACATGATTTTGACTTTGAATTTGACTAACTATCTATCTAGGGCGGGAAATATCATTTGATGATTTTAGACCCCTAAAACTAAAACATAACCTCAAAATACTTAGCTTTTGTTTTGAGGTTATATTTGTACGTATTAGTCACTATGCTGAGTACCACAACTACGTTTTCTCCAATATTTTGCTAGTGACTAACATTGTATTGGAATGCTCAACCTTACTAGTTCCGGGACCATTCTTCAAGAGCATGCTTAGGATCTCTGTTCCTAGTGTAATATTGGTGACTATGACGTTCTCAATGCAAACCATTTGTCTATTCTCCATGTATAATGCATATGCAAGTTTACCTTTTCCCATTATAAACACTTTTTGAGATATGAAGTCCAAGAATATGAGTAAATTTAGGAGCCATCCACTTTTTTACCTACAAGCATAAAACGGGTATTTGTGTTGCGGATATAATTTTGACTTAACCTTCATAAGAATAATGACGTTGCCCAAAAGTTAAATAAGTACGTTTGATAATCTTCGAATTGTTAACTAAATAACTGATTCCAAGATTTCCAAATATCCTCTCAAACTATATGGAAATACAGTAGAATTCAATACAGACCACCTACTGCCTAATAGTTTTGAAAATGTCAAGAGAAAGTTGGGTCAGTCTGCTCTATAACTTTTTCGAAGAGTAAAACTATACAAGAGAAATTACCAACAACTGACTAAAGCTGAACAAATGAATTATGTATCACTATTTATAGCGTCCATTTTTCCTCTACATTTGTAACGAAGTACTACATAAGAAAATCATCAAATGACTTCTCCGCCCAGGTAAGTTCCATACTTCCTCTAGTTTTGTAACGAAGTATTACATAGGAAAATCTTCAAATGACTTTTCCCGCCCAGGGTCGGGCTGTAAACTATGAACCACCTTTGGATTCCACTATCCATAAGGCCTTCCACAACGCCAACAGTAGAATTAAGTGAAAGAAGATCATGCCAGAGCAGCGAGAGAAAGTGATGCAGAAGGGTGGTCTCGACCCTCGATAACGAGGAATATGAGGTAAAATCATCAAATGATTTTCCGGTCCAGGGTCGGGCGGGAGTGAGTGTCAGACTCTTACTGACTAAAACACCCCTGTTCCTTCTCCTGCTCTAGGCCGAGGCCACGGTGCCTAATTGCTTACTCCGCAACCCCGGCTATATGTATATGTATAGAGATATTCCAACGTATCTTATAGCATCTTGTCGTACGTTTCAGACTGTCTTAGCATCTAGATAGTACCAGATGGGACTTTATCAGTAGATTGATATTTTGTAAAAAAAAAACATTCTAGTGAATGATTTTACATTTTATCTATGTATTAGCATTTATAACATCATAATCTAATTATGTGTCCTTATTGGTTACTGGACCGAGATATGATGGGATATTTTTTTTTTTTGTTATATATACTGGGCAACGGATAACAAGTAGGTTGCGTTAGACGTGTTCACATTGTTTTAAGACAGTCAAAACTGCTTTAACGATTTGGCCTTCAAAAGTGCCTGTTATTTGAAATAAATGATTTGACTTTGACTTTGTATGTCAACCTACTCAAAAGCATAAAATATTTTATTTAGAGATACACTACTGTTTAAGTTTAAGCCAGTGTAAAGATTTCTCTTAAACTTACTGAAGCAATTTGCAGCATCGAAGACATGGTCTTCTCCTTCGAATTCTACACGGTCAAGACAGACGCTCAGAACTTGTGAAGGCAGAATGCTATTCCAATGCTCCTTCCTGACTGCTGCGGACCACGATCTTTAGATATTTAAGGGATTGAAGACAGAAAGAGAAAGAGAATTGTCAGAAAAGCTACAAATAGTATTTTATGGCTTCAAGGCAGTTTCCTTTAATTCTTTATTTTAAGTTACTTTCTCTATGTAATATAATTAATATCATAAAACAATATCTTAGGTCTTTAGTCCCGAGACTTTTGTCTCACTCGATAAAAGTTTATTTAGAGTCTTTTTATATTAAACCATTTTCTGAGTTGCATTTTCCCGAATTATTCTAACAAGAAAAATTGGCAAAGTTAGTCCAGGCGTTATTGAGTTATGCGCTTATCGATATTATCATTTTTTAGCCCGGTGCAATACAGACATTACATTTCTTCACTATTTAATGGATGTTATATGTATACTTAGAAACTTTTTTCTTCAATCACTATATCTATCTATCTATTAAAACTCAGCATCAAAATCCGCTGCGTAGATTTAAAGAATTTAGCATACATAGGGATATAGGGACAAAGAAAGCAACTTCGTTTTATTCTTACCATCAGGTGGGATCGCAGTCAAGCACTAGTTTATAGCAAGTAAAAAAAATTTAGTGATAAAGATATATGGAATTTATCGAATATTAAAGCTAGTATAGAATAGGTTCTTGCTCTATACAATGTCTTAAAAGACATTTTGTATAACGAGTCGGCCATTGCGGCTATAAAAGACACCATTTCATATCGTTGTAACAGCTTTGGAAGCAAGTTTTCTGCTTGGAAATTCTCAATTTGTTCGCAAATAGAAAATGTTGAGTATCGCAAGTCGTTCGGGTGAGCCGACGACGACCGAACTTTGCCAATTTCACGCATTAACACTTTGTTCTTCGGCTAAATTGGATTTATTAAACGTTGTAGTTTGTTTTTGTGTTGCGAGCGGTTTTTTAATAGTTTGTGGGAGGAAGGGATTATATCTTTGTGTTTTTATATTTTTATTTATTTTATTTCTAAGTTACATGTTATTTTTTCTTAACAAAAGGTTATGATTATAACAACATCAAAGCATACGATAAAGCTACCTACAGCTTTATCGTATGCTTAATAAAAAAGAGATCTAACAAAGAAAGTAGTTGAATGTTAAAGATTATGTATCATTTATTATAAGGTTCAATTTTGAAATACCCTCTTTTATGAGTTAGTTATGTTGTCTATTTAAACATGCGATTTATGTTATTTTGATGCACGTATTGAAAACTATACAGTCCCGTACGTGATGTATGTATTGAAAAATTGTTACCGTCTAAACTTCGACTTCAATCGCCTTTTTTCTTGAATTTAAATATAAAGTATTTATAATTACATACAATCGTGTGAATTGTTATTGTTGTAATGGCCTGAAATAATCATCCAACTTCGTCATCAATGACTTTGTCAGTCACGTGTTAAAATCTTAGCGAGAAGGTTAAGTTGGTCAGTTGTGTCTTATAAATTTTCTAAAAGGAGTTTTTATTCAAGCACTAGGCTTTTATTCCGATTTAAAAAGAGAACATCATATTGTATCCGGTGTCTACTTGTCATTTTTATTCTGACGTCATTGGTGCGTCATTTGTTTTTGTTTTGCACTATGTAGTGTGCACCATGTGCTGTCTCTCTATCTGAATGATTAAATCATCCAGAATGGAGCAGTAACTGTTTGTATAGAAACAGAACATTGATTTCTTTTTTATTAAATTTCACACCTTTAGATTTAAAGGAACGGATATTTACAAATATCTTGCTGTTTTCAAATTTTAACGAAACTAAAGAATAAAAATTATTTTACGGGTTCATGCTTGAAAGGGAAAATAGAATACTTTGTTACCAGTTCTCTTCATCTACCCATCTATCTCTCTGATAAAACTTTTTACCTCAGGAATACATGGAAGCATTTAATAGACATTTATAACAAAATAATACTCAATTTGACTGTCTTTTGGCCCTGTGAATAAACCAAGCTTAGTAGTAGTAGTAGTAAAATGGTATAGATAGGTTACATAAACAACATTCGATTTTCAAAAACGGCACACTTATGACACAAATATAAAAAGTGTGGCTAATAAGCAACATTTTAAATCACTTGCTGAGCGCTTGTAACATATCTACACCTATCTACAAAAAAAAGACAACAAAAAATTAATCAAAAATACCGTATATCTTTGTAATTGTATTATGCCGCTTAAGTAGCGCTAACGATTCTGGGATAGTGATTATATAGTTCACTATCGAATGCTTTCAATAAAACTAGGAACAACTTTTGATTAGGTAATGTTTCCGTCAGTAATGAATTACATCTGTATGTGATCAGGTCACAAAGATTCGTGCTCAGAGGACAGCAAGGCGCACGAGATCAAGCCGAACCTCGACAGGTCGCATCATGCGCTCGGGCCACGGCTACACATCGCGCACAACATACGCACCGAACACTTACAAGGTAACCCGAAAAAATTCATCATCAGCCGGAAAACGCCCACTAATGAACAAAAGTCTCCTTCTTAATCCTTCACTTCGAACGACAACTCGCCACTTTCATTCATTTATTTAACACTAGCTACTCTCGCGCGGTTTCACTCGCTGCTCGGTTACATTTAATTGTAGCGTGATGTTTTTTTAGCCTATAGTACTCAGAAATATTGTAGCTATCTACCAGTGAAAGATTTTTGGCAATCCGACCAGCGGTTCCAAAGGTTACCCCCTACATACCAACTTACAAATTTTACCTCGTTATAATATTAGTATAGATTTATTTGCACATAAATTTCATCCATTGGCTCACCGTGACTCCAAATATTTCACCGGTTTACCTGAACACGTTACGTTTTCCAGTCACCAATCGAGTACTTTCAAGGCCCATCGGCCGTCCGTCCTTCGAGCAATGTGGCCTGACCATTACCGAAAGAGATAGAAGGTTGTCGTTCGACGAGAAAGATAGGGAGAGCATTTGCAGTGGCAGTGGAGGTTCAAATCACTCTCTCAGGGTGATCCAATCCCTCTACGGTGCCCCTGTGTGGGCGCCGGACTTGAAGCGGCGGCCGGCTCGTACGCTGGTCGCGTCACAGAGGGTCATGGCTATACGAGTAATCCGCGGGTATCGCACGATCTCCGGGGAGGCGGCGAACCTCCTTGCCGGATCACCGCCGTGGGATCTAGAAGCGAAGGCGCTCGCGCGCGTCTACAGTTTGCGCGCAGACGCGCGTCGCCGGGGCGAAGATCCTCTGCCGCGCCAAATTAGTGCGTGGCGGAATGAGCTCCGGCGAGATCTCATGGCAGAGTGGAGACAACGACTGTCGCAACCGAGGGCCGGGCACGCTACCATAGCAGCGGTAAGACCCCTCTTTGAGGAGTGGCTTGAGAGACGCCACGGCGTCCTCACCTTCCGTCTGACGCAGGTGCTTACCGGGCACGGCAGCTTCGGTAGGTTCCTGTTTCGGATTCAGCGGGAGGAAACGCCCGAGTGTCGTCATTGTGAGGACCACCTAGAGGATACGGTGGAGCATACGGTAGCGGTATGCCCTGCCTGGGCTGAGCACCGCCGTATCCTCAGGGAAGTGATCGGCGGCGGCGACCTCTCGCGCCCGGCCTTAGTCGAGGCCATGGTGCGGAGTGAGAGGAACTGGGACGCCGTCTCCTCCTTTTGTGAAGCAGTCATGCTCGCAAAGAGAGAGGCGGCCCGCGTGAGGGAGCAATCCTCCTCCTCACGCCCCAGCAGCCGCAACTGGCGACACTACGGGCGTCGGGGATCGAGGGACGATCTCCGGCCACCGTAAGTACGGGCCTGCGGTCGGCGAGTAAGGGCAGCTCGCCGCCCGACCAGAACCAGGCCCGAGCGTACGGCGCGTAGCGTTCCGCGCGCGCCTCAAAGAGCCAATAGACCACCACAGACGGGGCCCTAAAGGGCTGATGTTCAGCCGGGGTTGCGGGGTAAGCGCAATGAGGTACCGCGACCTCGGCACAGAGCAGGAGAAGGAACAGGGGGGTTTTTAGTCAGTAAGAGTCTGACACTCCCTCCTGCCCGGCCCTGGGCGGGAGAAGTCATTTGATGATTTTCCCCTCACAAAAAAAAAAAGGTGATCCAATATCCCGCTGATGATGATGATTTTGATTACTTACAAAAAAGATATCAGACCATTACTGATAGTTCTCAATACATGTGGTTTTTAGTTCTATGTGATGGGGCAGCAAACGGTCTACCTGATGTTAAGCAAACTACGCAATCACATCAACGCCAAAAGGCCATCAACGCACCTGTAAATAGAAATTTGGGGATTGGACTTGTGCCCGCATTGTTGCAGTAATATTAAATCTTTGTGTTTTAGGTTTTTGGTTTTGGTTTTAGACATACATTGGATAAAATTAGGTGAATAAACTAACATTTGATAGTGTTATAAGGTGTATTTTTAAATTGGCCTGCACATTCACATCGACAGTACCGCTAATCTGAGTTTTGTCCTGTCGTATGCGAAGAGGCCATTGCATTGTTAGGGTTTCTATAACGACTTAAAAAATATTTCATACCTTATAAAAGCAAAACTAATTATTGAAAAAATTACATATTTCGCTTAACCATGTTAATAATACGCATAAGTATAATATTTAGATATTTATTTCCTGAATAACTAGCAATTATTGCTCATTTAGAATTTAATAACGAAATTATTAAATTTTATTATCAATTTCTTTATTGTCGATTATGAAACTAATTGAATATGGTTTTCAGGTGGCATCCACCAACAACACAGTGGAGGGCATATGGCCACCGTGCCAGTCAGCATGTCGTCCTCAGCTTCAGACAGCGACAAGCCTGCCAAGCAGAAGAGACATCGGACGAGGTAATGAGGGATAAGCTATAAAAAGAAAGAAGTACATACATTTTAAATAGCACACACATTGAACTTTAACAAAATAGGCTAATAGGTTTAGGTTCAAGTCCATGCTACTTTTAATGTGTGTGTTAAGAATTTTCCTTATTGTCTCCAGTTCAGTTATTTCTTCTGGTTTAGGTCCGTGCGGCTATTAAAAGGTTCGAAAAACCCCCGAAATTGAAATTAAGTTTCATCAATTTATAAAGTGTTTTTATTAAACCATTCTATTTATTAATTTCTAATCAAGGACTACTACATATATGAATGTATCATTCTAAGTAGTTACAAAAATACTTTAAGAAGAAGTTACAAATTAATGTTTGAGAAATGTAAATTTTCATAAACTTTGTATTAAATGTTGTTGCGTTTTATGACGTTAACTAGTAATTTTCTATTCAGGTTTACACCGGCACAACTGAACGAGCTGGAAAGATGTTTTTCTAAGACACATTACCCTGATATCTTCATGCGCGAGGAGATCGCCATGAGGATCGGCCTTACTGAGAGTAGAGTACAGGTTAGTGCTAGAATAACATCGACTTATCTTTTGTTAATTATGGAAAAAGCCGAAAGAAACATTAGAGAGACCTCGTCAAATAAATTAATTCAATTATTTTATAAATTTTTAAACCACCGTGTCAAGTAATAGTCGTATTCGTACATTTTCTATCCAATACAATCCTGGATGTTCAAATGTTGGCTATCGGTCAACAAATTATTTAAAAGATCAAACAAATCAAATCGCTGATACCGTTACCTCAACCAACATCCGCTGAAAACACAATATAAAAAGCATTGGTCCCAAGCGTTCACCTTGCGAGCTCCCTCTTCGCACGTCCAGTTCAAAAGTTGCACTACACTGATACATTTCACGGCACCTCTTACCTGATTCAACCTTCGTGTTGCACGAATAAAAATTTAATTTTTACGTTATGCTCTTTTAAAGGCGATGTGAATGGGTGGTCGAGGTTGTCAAATGCTTTTGTAAAAACTTCATAGTCGAATTATTCCATGTATTAGAGTTTTATAGGCTTTAACTTTTATAGAGCGAACGGTTCAGCGGTAGCCGGGTTTTATGGACTGTGAATGTTATGACGTGGTAATGCTATTATTATTTCCTTTTTCCACATTCTATATTGAATATAGAAACGAATATTTCGTTGGGGTCCAAGAATTTACATAACTGAACAAACATTATTGTAATATGAATACCTATACACTTTATGTTGACTGCTTCTTGAAATACCTCTGCAAAACTTATTTTAGTAATATGAACAACAGTTGGTGACCATAATATGCGATGCGACATTTTTATCTCTTATATGGAATTTAACACAATTTTCGTACAAATAGTGGGTAATTCACAAGGAATTTAGTGCATTAAAGTAGTAAAGTATTAAAAGCTAACTGGAGCTAATCAGCCACCGTCACTTTGTTCAAGCACTTAGTTTCAAGTTAAACTATGCTTTACATTAGACATTAGTCTTAATTTGTGTCGTGTGTTCACTAATATTTGTATTTCGTTAACACCCGAGACACACGGTCCGTCGGGACCACGAGCTTTGGTAAAACTTTTGCTGCAGTACTGTGAAGTCTATTTGTTATGGTTGCTATTTGTGTTGTATTTTCTGGTACGAAATATATTTTAGCTTCACCAAAAGTATCACAACTTTCTTTACTAGAATTCTACATTTGGCGATGTTCAAACTTTTTTACAATCTTTAGAATAGATAGAATTATTACATTTTTTTCCACTCCTCTTTCACCCACTAAATTGAAATGTCTATCTTCTAAATTTGCATTGACTAGCCAGCTATTGAACCTCTAAAACTTTATAATTGGAATGCATTTCACACCTCCCTAATACTGCTCACGTCATGTTGCCTGTCAGTTTTATCAGCCGTATGTTCCTCACCAAGAAGCGAGTTGTAATCCGTGAAAATTGCCTGTTTATCGTCACAGTTATTAAGTTTAGTGTTACGTTATTCATTGTAACTGTTATCGACTATGTGTAAGCAGCTACTGAATGAAGAAGCATTCATTGATTGACTTCCATCATAAATATTGATGATTAGAATACTTTGAGTGTTCTGTTAGTCTCATCAGTTTTAGGGTGATATGACTTGTGTTACTTACATTTGTTTTTAAGGTTTCACTTTGTAAAGAAAATCCTTTAGCTATTTATTATTTCGGTTGCGTTCGGAACTACACACTACTAGATTTTCCACTGAAAAAATGATACCTATTTCGAATTTCATAGTTTTATTTTACTTTAACCATACAATTTCAAAAGTCATATTTTACAGGTACACGAATACCTGCATCACTCCGTTTCTTTGGAAACAAGTAAAGTTATGAGTTGCTATAAAGTACTAGTTGTTAGTTCAACGTTGCCCTTGACATTTTATCGATTAGATTTTTTCTGAGCTATCCAACGTTTTTGTAAACATGTCAGGGTCATGTCAACTTACATACAAGTTGGTACATGCGAGAACGCGAGGAGTTACGCAATCTAAAATAGACCATGTTGTGGAGACTAAGTTGGTTGCAAACTCGTGAATAGTACACTCCATTTACGTTGTCCAACGTCTTTATTTGTGGAACGAACAATGTACTGTTGAGTTGTTCAGTTTTAAAAATGTCTGTTGTTACTAGGTCTGGATTAAAGGTGGCCGCTTTGTAGTCTAAACTAAAATTATAAATAGGTAAATTTTGTAAATTTGTGGGGGTAATCTTTGGAACCACTGGTCGGTTTTCCAAATTTCTTTCACTGACAGATAGCTACAATGTTCCTGAGTGCTACAGATGCTATAAATTACCTATACTTCATTTGTGTATTTTGATCCAGCCTTAAACGTTTTTAAAATCCCGGAATACATTACTTTTTAAGTAGTACGTAGGAAGTCGCGGGTGGAACCTTTTTTAGTATAATTATGCTCTATGCTACTTTTTATGACTTTTATGCATCGGAGATTAGTAATTTAGTACAACATTCTTCTTTTATTCGAATCATCTCTTATGTTAAGTACGTGGCACTGTAACTAATCAAAGCATTGGTAGTAACGAGGAATTAAAAAAAAGATTCGCCTTACTTGCAAAATAAAATGAGAGAATTGCCGACGGGTGGGAATGCTTAACATAACTTTTGATGGGAACAGTTTTATAACATGAATTTGGATGGAGATGATACTCAGAATTGTTGCTGCAGCTAGGCAACAGAGTTCTCAACAAAGATATCGTGATGTATGAATATGGCCGGCGGGGCTCACAAAACAAACATCACTAACCTTTACACCTCCGAGTTTTTAAAAAAGTAGCGTCGACAAAAAAGTCGATGCTTTGCTACGCACAATAAATAAATAATAAAACGCGTACGAAGAATGTCGCAGTGTGGCGCGAAGTGGTCTCGGAGAAACATACAAAACGAACACAAATGTGTTTGTCTGACGGTCGCGCAGTCGCGCAGCGTACGTGTGGCCGGCACTCGCTCGGTGCCACGCCGCCGGCTACTGGGCATCACCTTCCATTGTTTCCCATCTCTTTGTCTAGTCATGTTATGAATTCAAACCACATTTGAATTTTCGTTTTAAATAAATTGTCACCTCTTAATTTCACTTTCTCCTACTATTTCAAGGATTGGAATAATATAAACTGTTTTAAAGATTTCCGACTTAACGTTCGATTTTGTTTAGATTGGATTCTTTTTTTGAACACGATTTGAATATAGAACTTATTCTAAATTATTTAGGCAATTAATCTGTACCAATGGCAAACTATATTTCGCTTCTTTACGTACCTGAATAAGATGTATTCGTAGTTTAGTTATTTGTGGCTCGCCCAGCTCAGTACCCAGGTGAGGGCGCACACAGTACACATGCGCTATTTACTCTGCCGACCGGTCAATTGCAAACACTGGTTGAGTTCCCTATTTACTTGACTTCGGACTCGCTCTGAACTGTATTATTTAAATATGCAGCCGCCAGAACAAACAGTTACCTATATGGGAAGATGCAACGGTTGGAACGGAAATTATGTTATTATACTTTAATATAAATAATAGTACATATCATGCGATACGTCGACAAGACTAAAGGAACAGGGCACACCTTTTGAAAGAAAATCTATACTTCTATACTTATATTATAAAGAGGTAAAATTTGTAACTTTGTATGTAGGGGGTAATCTTTGGAACCGCTGCCTGGTCGGATTTCCAAAATTCTTTCACTGATACATTCTCGACGGTGGCGTCTTGGCGTTGGTATCCGTCGCACTGCCAAAACACCTACATAATTACTTTATTTTGAAAACAAAACATGCTTCGGTATGCATAACCATATATTTGCGGATGGCTGAATGAGGTACCAACGACCGTCGCGCCATCTGTAATTGGCGCCAATGGATGGAGTCAAACTCCATCGCTTTTTTTGCTTGACGTTCATAAGTGCCTACTGTGGTCTATTTGGAATACCTAAATGATTTTATTTGGACTTTTGGGTTTGACTTTGACCTCCCCTGTTCGGAATTCAAACTCTCTATAGGTATTAATACTCAAGTGGAACAATAAACCTAACATTTTATTGATTAGCATTAAATTTAGAATTTATAAAAAAGAATTGTGTTATTTTTGAAGATTTATTTGACTTATTACTACACACTTCTAGAAAGAATATTTTTAAAAACTTAAGACAAGATTAAAGTGTTGTACTTATATACAGCGTTGATACAGTTCGTATTGGCTTGTTAAATCTAAAAGAGTACAAGGTCCATCGGGTCGACTAATTCCAAAGAGTATGAATAGGAGTTTGTAAAACAAACTCATTTGTATAAAACCTACATGGTAGTAACAATGTATCGTCCAAATACAGAAGTGTATCGCTATCTGCCACTATTAAGTTTATGATAGGAGAACAAAGAACTCTCGGAAATCCTCCGGCCGAACATTTTAGCACTGCCATAAAAATATTGTAGCTACTACAGTAGCCATGTCTATGACGGATATCGGGACAACGATTCATCTTAAGATTTTTGACGATAGTAGTTACAGCATCACTTTAGTCTTATATAATTTAGTTTTTTTATTATAGTTGTGTCAGCTGAGAGTTGTCATGCTCACTCAGAGGTCTCATTGGCGGTGGCACAGGCACTGGATCGCTCGATTCCCTACAATAAGGTTGAGTTAGGCAGGTTAATTTCTTTTTCAAATTCTTTGCCTAAATATGATTGTTACACTGTTCTCACGCATCTGAACCGACTAAATGATGTAACAAAGAAATGAATTGTAAAACTGATTGAAAAATAGTAACCATGGAGTTTCTTGCTCGTTCTTCTCCATAGGAATCTACACTTTGAAACGAGCAAATAGCTTGACGGACAGACTGACATGCATAAAGTTACACCTCTTGAAATATATATTTTTTTCTTTTTTTTGCTTGACCTTCAAAAGGGCCTATTGTGGTCTAATTGAAATAACTAATTTTGACTTTGACGTTAAGAAAAGTCAAAATTAAAAAACATGAA